CGATATAGCAGGATGTGAGGAGACGGAGCAGGTTCCTGGCAATGTAACGGGATGTCACAGTAGGGCCCAGTTTGGCCGAGAGCCACCTCACCATCTTACAGGCCGTGTCTGCAAAACAAGAGCGCAGAGTAGGAGAAGGAGCAATAATCTGCCACTCTGTAAGCTGCCCAGACCCTGCCCATGGGACACTTAGAGCCTCAGTCCTCACCAGAGCTCCCCACATAGCGGACTCCTGACCTGCAGCATCGCCCGGCCTTCTGTCAAGCACCCTGCCAGCTGCATCAGCCAAACAGCAACATCAGGACTCCAGCTACCACCCTATTAAAGTGTCCATTGGATAGGTTCAGATTTGCTCTGATCACCTTCCTGGAGAATTCAGGAGCACGTCCAGAGCTGGTTCCAGCTCCTCCTGCACAGGACTGGCTTCCCATCTCCCCTTTCCATTGCTGCACCAGTCACTCACCACCTCAGACAGACAGACGGCATCTACGTGCAGCTCTTACCCAGGAGAATCGTCTGCTCTTTATCTTCAGAGTGGTCATGCAGCTCCTGCTCATCGCCCTCCTCTGGCTCACTGTGCTCATCAGCCAGGGCAGCATCCATGGAAGCACCAGTGCCCCCTGACAGGGTAAGTTCTGTAGCAACTGTGGCCTCCTCCTCCTCCTCCTCCTCCTCCTCCTCCCCCTCCCCCTCCTCCGAGTCTTCACTCTGCTTCAGCTCCTGACTGCTGTCCACAGACTTCAGGCTACTCTTGTCCTTCTGGGAATCCCCATCTGCAGGTCTGTCCTCTCCCAGCGACACTTCACTGGCGCTGCTTTTGTCACTCAGCTGCCCGAGGCTAAGCAACTCCTGCTCCTGAGGCTGCAGGGACTCGCTGACATAGAGGCCGCTCTGGAAATCCTCGTTCTCTGGCAGATAGGCCTGGTCGTGGAAGCTGACTCCAGACGTGTAATCCAAAAGGTCGAGTGCCGTGGAACCGTGATCCACATCCATTTTGATCTCTTCCCCAAAGGCACAGGAAACTGGGCTGCCTCCTCCACTCTCCTCATCTTCTGCCGTTCCCAGAAGGGACTTACTTTCTTCCTGGGAGCTCTCAACGCCAACAAGGATCTGCAGGATGTGAGCCAGCAGATTAGAGAGGAAGGACTGTAGCCCCAGACGCACCATTAACTGAGCCACAAAGCAGTCTGTATACAGGTAAAACCGGCCATGGAGGCAGCAGGGATTCTCATATGCACCAATCAAGGGCTTGAGCAGGTACTTGTTTGCATTCTTGGGGCCCAGGGCTTTAGCTATGGGCTCAAACAGGTACCAGGCTGTATAGACTGCAGTGTTCTCCTCCGACATCAGAGATAAGATGAAGGGCAGCAGGATCTCCAAGCCTTCAGGAGTGATTTCACAGAGGATCCCCTCCAGCTGCTGCCACAGCTGGAAAACGAGCTCACGGCCCTGACTCTCATCCTCCACTTTCTTTGACTGGTAGGTGAAAATGAATTTGTGCAGAGATGGGAAATATGGAGGGAAGGGAACAACTGAGCTGAAAGGGCTAAGGAACTGCGAGGGGCTGGGTGGCGGGAGACCCTGGGAAACAGGTTTGTACTCAAAAAGCTGGACTCTGTTCTTGGCCACCTTGTTCTTTAGACGTCTCCCCTCAGGCATGTTCAGCTGCAGCAAAGTCTCCAGCACGTGCTGGAGCGGGGCTGGGATCTCCTTCGGGTGATACTGGCAAAGATTCCGAACGGTCAGGAACCGCTCCAGCAGGGATGCATCTGGCTTCAGGGTGCGAACCCTTGGCGCAAACACAACCTCAGCTATCAGAACTCCCAGTGCCTGCATGTCTCTCTGGAACAGATCTGAGAGGCCCAGCGGCGGCTCCACCAGCGGCTGCTCCATCAGCTCCATCTCACTGTTTAAGCCTTTAACCAAGAAGTTGTCCAGTTTTTCCAGCTCCTCCAGGGCCTGGACAGGATTAAAACCCTCAGGAAGCGTAATCTTCATCTTGTCCCTTTCAGCTTGATCCACAACACCAGGCTTACTCCTTCGATTAGGCCGGACACTTGAGGTTTTGCCTTCTGTAGGGTAGGCAGGGAGGTTGGAGGGTTGAGCTGAAGGTGTGCAGGGACGGGGCTGGTCGGCGGCTCTGCCAGCTGCAGGAATGGAATCCAGAGCTTCAGTGCCTTGCTCCAAATCATCCTCACCGCTGATGGATTTTTCACCAGACCAGCCGGTTTCACAAGGTGTGGCTTCCAAGACCAGCCCATTGACCCCATCACCCATCTGAGCCTGGCCATCCTCTAGGACTATTGTCTCTCTGGCGTTCTGGATGAGAGGTCGAGCAATGACTGGAGCTTCAGCAGGAATGTATGCAAGTCCCACCATGCGTCTGGGATGTGGCTGGTCAAAGAGCTGCACCACTCCATAGCTGGTCAGATGGGTGTGGTTGTCTACCAGATGGAGGCAGACATTTTTCTCCTTGACAGCGTCCTTCCCCAGCAGCTTGTAGCCAAAAGTGAGGTCAATCCAGTGGTGGAGATCCTGAGAGACCTCTCTGCTCTCCAGCAGCTTGCGGTGGACTTCAATGAACTCCTCATAGGAGCTGCACCAGGATGGCACATCCAGGTCAGGCATGTCAGAATGAATGGATTTAAAGATGGTGGGGTCTGTATAGAACTCAGGGATACACTCATCTGGAGTCCAGCTCTGCATGCGCTCCATGCTGGCTGGATATTCATTTGGCTCCCACTGCGATCTCACATGACAGCAGAGCACAGCCTTGGGTGTCCTCCGGGCAGTGTAGACGTAGTAGGTGATGTCCGAGAGGACGTCGGAGATGTGGTGGGGCACGTGGAGCTGTTCTCCACTTGATCCTCCGGCTGCAAATGCCTGCTTGGTCATCTCATAGGTGAAGTCCAACTGCTTGTCTCCTTTATTGAGGCGGAACTTGGATTTTCTTAGGTCTCTGAACTTGCCGTTTTTGGTGGTGAAATCCACCACCCAGGGGAGAACCGGGTGGTAGTTGGGGTCTCCCATTCTCCGTCCAGCCAAGCGATTCAGCTGCATAAGGTAGTGGAAGTTACTGACTCGCCCATGCACCCAATCCAGCACAAGGCCCCTGAGCTCCTCCTGGCAAGCTGTGCACCTCGCCTCCTTCCCAGTCCACGCCAGAGCCCTGCTTTCCTCAGCCCTTTCTTCTTCATCAGCTCTCGGATCCCTCCCTTCCTCCGTCGGCTTCTCGTACTCACGGAGGTTAATTCTGAGCCGGCTGCACAGCTTCTCATCAACTGCCACATCACGAAGGGAGAAGGGACCACATGGCAGCCCCGCTTGGTGACAGGCCCTCATGGCCTGCAGGACATGGAAGAGGATGAAAAGGACCTTGGCGTGGCTGTTGGTGAGCTTTGCAGGGCTGAAGGTCACAATGTCGTGCAAGCAATACTGCACATACGGGTAGATGATGTAGAGCATGTTGGCTGACTCCAGAAGAGCTTCTGCTCGGAGGATGTTTGGGCAGGAGGACGTCCCCTTTGTGCCTGTAGAACCTTCTTTGGCAGGAGAGGCATACTGGACACTCCTACCCACCTGGAGAAAAGGGCAGCCATAGATCTTCTGAAGAGCCACTCTGAGCACGTCCAGGGCCAGCACCGTGAGCGGCGTGTGAGCGTGACAGTACGGCTGCACATACAGGCGGTGAGCTCTATGCCACAAGTTTCTATAATTCTGGGAAGCAACATTCTGCATAAACCCATGGAGTGTTTCCAAGCGCCCGTTCCGATCGTCCTGCGCACTGTGGTGCAGAGTCAGTGGATAAGCCAACCTCTCTTTCCTCAGACCATGGATTTCCACTCTCGTCCAGCCAGCAGGCAGCTTCTGCACAGAGCGCTGAAGGAAAGTCCTCACCTCCACCTCGCTCAGCCCCTCAGGCCGGGGGCACAGGGTGGGCAGCACCCTGCGCTCCTTCAGGCTCGCTAGCCACTTCACTGGGACAAAGGCAATGAGATGGGTTCCCTCAACAGCAGCAGTGAGCTGCCTGTGGTCAATATTCAGGTCTTTTTCCACTCTCCTAAGGAAGCACTCCATGCTGGTACGGCACCGGCAGAGTTCCACAGCTCAGCGGTCTCTGTGGGAAACAGACACACTTTAAATGAGACAGGCAGCTTGGGGGCTGCGATTCCACCCATCCCCATGGGGCTCTCAGACTCTCCTCAGTCACAGGGTAGATCTACACTCCTCGCAGCCCAGGCAGACAGACGCAGGCTATGGGCTGGGGCTAGCACTGCTGGAAGCAGGGAGTCCAGAGCTCAGCACTCTGGTGGCTAGTCCAGCCTCCGCCTTTAGCACACTAGTGCAAGCCCTGCTCGTGCGAGTCTGTCTGCCCTGGCTGGGACGCTCACTCCCCGCCACAGTGTAGACAGACCTAGGGGCTCCTGACGGGGGTCGCCTGAGGCAGGTGCCTTACCACTCCGCCACGGCCACAGGGCTGGCCAGTCTGCGCTCCGGAGTGCGGTGGCAGCGCCATTAAACCTGGGCAAGAGCAGCACACAGGCCAGACCAGTCCCCCGCACCCGCCCCAACCCGGCCCCCCGCCCCGTCGCTGCCAGCCCGGCCCCCCGCCCCCGCCCGGGCCCCCCCGGCCCGCCCCCCCGCACCTGCCCGGTCGCTGCCCCACGGGCCTGGCCGGGGGCGTTCAATGGGGCAGGTCCGGCCCCCAGCCCGGCGCTCCCCTGCGGCAGCCAGGCGGGCTGCGAGGAGCCGGGCCCGGGCCCAGGCTGGCGCCCACCGGCGGCTCCCGGGGCCGTGCGGCGGGGCGAGGAGAAGCCGGGCCGGGCCCCGCGGGCAGCAGCGGACCCGAGCCCGGCCGGGGGACACGGGACCGGCCCGGACCCGCCCTTACCTGGGCCGCGGCGCGGGGCTCCCCGGGCTGGGACGGGCCCGAGCCCTTAGCCCCGGCGGGCGGGGGCGGCCCGGGCCCCGGCCATGTTGGATCAGCTGATGCCGGTCACATGAGGCCGCTTCTCCGGGAAACAAACTCCACGTGGCGCCGGCGGGATCTGGCCCGGGCCGCACCGGGCGGAGCTCGGAGCCTGGAGCCTCTGCTCTGGGGGGCACCGAGCGCCCCGCTGCTGTCTCCGGCCCAGAGGGACCGGGGCCGCCTGGGGAAGGGGAGGCCACAGAAAGGTGCCCGCGCCAGCAGCCCACAGTGGGGAGGCTTGTGATAGCCCTTAGTGCTGGATCCTCGCCCCCTGCTCCGGGCCTGAGAGGACCCTAATTTCTAGCATACAAAGGACCTGAGATTGCAGATGGTGCAATGCTAGTATCAGGCCTTTCCCTTCAGCCTGGAACTCCCGCAGAGGCTCTCTCCCTGCACCCACCACCTTCCCCGGCCCCTCGGGGGGCCCACGGATGCAGCCCCAGAATACCAGACGTTCCAGTACTTCCCCCATGTGACCCCACTCCGGCTGCTGGGTGCAAGCTGGGTGCTCTGCAACTTCCTGTCCTCCACAGTGATGCTGGACAGACTCATTGCTGGTGCTGGACAGGGACAGCCCTTCCCCAGAACAGGGTTGGCCAGCTTAAAACCAGGTGAACGGCCTGCCTAGGGCCCACCGCCCCTGCAGATGCAGGGCATCCTCCAGCTTTATCCAGCTTCTGGGGCCATCACCCTAGGGCTGCTGGACAGGTCCCCAGGGCAATTCCCTGCATGTCTGGCCTTCCTCACCTTGGACAGAATCTTTTCATTCCCCAACCTGGCCTGGGAAAGGGAGATAAGCCACAGCATTGACAGGTATTAGGATGATGCTGTACAGAGAGATGCTGCTGTGCAGATTGGGGCACTAGTGCAGGGCCCATGGGGTTGCACGGCTGTGAGCCACACAGGGCCGGAAGTGGTCAAGTCACTACAGAAACGAAAGCAACACAGAACAACATGGCCCGCTCCTCCATCCACAGCAAGGAAGTGGGGAAGTGAGATGGTGCGGTGTGATCAGAGTAAACAGCCAGACAGCGCCCTCGCAGTTCTGCAGCACGCCTTGGCGCCACTGACTTGCAACCTGGCCCTGCAATTTCAGTCCTGAGCTCCCGATACACCTCAATAGTGATTTTCAGCCTGGGACATCTAGACATACCCTTCTCCCCCACCCAAATAAAGGCTACTGACCCATCTGTGTTCTCCATATTCTCTCCCTTCCCTAGACCCTCCCCACCACAGCGTTTTCTAAGCTTTTAATTTGGGGGCAAATTAATGCCAGCTGGACGCTGAGCAGGGCCAGGAAGGAATTCCATCTGGCTCTTAGCACTTTGAGACCCTCTGATGAAAGGCAGAGGGTTTTTATTAGTTTCACCTGTTGGAAGGTTTGGTGTAAGGCAGACAGTCTGATGCACAGGCATTTGCACATGCAGTGCAGGGCTGTGTGACACACTCCTACAGCGCCATGCTTTCAGCTAGTCTGCTTGTGTGTGGCACGGTTATGCACCATGCTGTGTGCACAGAGCCCTTTTCACCAACAGAGTCACTTCCACAGAGAAGCAATGGCTTATTTTCTCTCACCTGAATTAGGGACTTTGGGGATCCTGTGAGCTGACTGCGGGACCTGGGACAGAGGCACACAAAGTGGAGTGGCAGCTGCGCCGGGGTCTGCCTGGTGGCCCAGAGAAAGAAACAGAGGAAGAGAGAAAGCAGAAGCTGGGAGCGACAGTGTCACAAATCCACTCCCTGCGCCACCAGCACATCCTGTGAGCTCCTTGTTCAGGGCCCTGCAACCATCACAGCTTCCCATTCACTTGCTTACGTCAGCTTTCATGGGTAAGTGGGTTTTTGTTTTAGTGCAGGAAAAGATTCCAGGGCAAACAGGCAGCATCTATTAGCCCCGATGGCTCCCAGAGGAGGCAGGGCCCTCTGTGGAGGAGTGTCAGACGCTGCATGATGTGGATTACTTTTAATGAGACTCTTCATTTGTGATGGGCTAAGTTCCTGGTGCTGAGCCTGCAGCCCTGCCTGTGTCCTTCAGTTCCAGTCATACCTCCTTTCCTAGGCCTTGGGGTTTGGGATGCAATTTCCCTTTCTTTGCCCCACAACTTCCCAGTGGCACCTGCTCAGCTGCATCTGGTGCTGTGGCCACGTGCTCCCAAGCGCCTGCTCTGGCCGCACCTGTTCTCATTGAGTTCGATGAAGGGACTTGTGCAACTTCTGCTGAGCAAATTATTTGTGGGGATGAAACAACCTTCAAGGTAGCAGGAAGGTCAATGAAGAAACAAGGGACAAAACAGGCTGTAAATCACCATGGTGCATTGTTCAGGGGAAGCCCATGTACTGCTCTAGACCCCCCCTCCCCCAGGCAATTGGTATCTGCAGGAAGAGGTGTGGGATGGCGTGCCCTTTGGGCATTGGACCACCTTATATGGTTGCCAGTGCAGGGTGCACTGGAGAAGACCTAATGCACCTGCAGTGCTGTCCCTTGTGGACACGTTTCTGCCTGACCCCTTCCTGTGGTCAGTTTATGGCCTGGAGCAAGAGATCAATAGCGCTTGGTTGTTGTATCCCTGCTAGCCAGAGCGGCCGAGAGTGGGTTCAGGCCCTGGTGAAAAAAAATTTTTCGGGCCCCCCAGCAAGGGCGGACCGGCTAAACAGGGCCGACTAGAGGGGGAAGCCGGGCCCTGGGTCCCCTTCTGGACTGCCGGCCCCGGTAATTTGTACCGGCTTCCCCCCCCTCTCGTTGGCCCTGCTGCTAGCATCACTGCAGATGCTGTTCTCATTCATGTTCCATACCAAACAATGTTAAGGGAGCATTAAGCTTGCCTAGTAAAGCACTCCTGGATCAGAAAAGTCCAATGACCCACATGCACCCTTAACCCAGTCTCGGGTGTGCCTGCTTTACCGCACTCACGCTCACATACTGTTTCTCCCACCAAACAAAAGAGACTAATCTGTGAGCGCTACCAAAGCCATGTCTGTGCTGTGGCCTGGCCTGGATCCTGACTGGGAGGCCTCCAAGACATGGGTGATTGGTAAGGTCTTTGGAGTAAGGTTTTTGCCTTGTGGGTGAAGGGGTTTGGAGCCAGGGCTTTAGTCCCTGGGAGCCGGTCTAGGTTTGCTTTTTGGCCGGACTGTCGCATGCATTGGAGGTGTGGCCGGGTGGGTTCCCCTGTGGACTGTCAGCAGTGGTTATGTGTGTATGAGAGGCACCCAAATGCCCTGGAGGATGGTGGGACAGACACTGCTTCTTGCTGCTCTGGTGCCCTGTGTCCCCTCTAGACTGTCTTGCTCTAGTCGTCAGCTGTCATGCTTCCTGTGTCGTGGTTTCTGAGTGCCAAGGGCTGAGCCGTGTGCTGGGTATTTAGGGCCGAGATGTGGCTGGCGGTGCTCCTAGAGGGAGGTGGTGCTCCACCTCTGCACAGTGCTGCTGAGCTGGGAAGCCGTTCTCTGCGAGTGCAGCTGGGAATTTCTTCTGCTCCGCTGAGCGGGCTGGAAAGCACTGCCCAATTAACTCTCCTGCTTCTTGCCCATGCATCTGCCCTGGACGTCCAGCCCTGGGTTGGAGCATTCGAAATGCTGCTGCTGAAGGCCAGAGCCTGAGAATAATGGACGGGAAATGTTGACTTCTCTTCTCTTCTGTATTTGCTCATGAGCTAAACATGAAATTGCAGGGGCTGGAGCCTCTAGCCTGCATCAGTTCAGCATCACTGAGCCTCTGTCATGGCTCCCATCAGAAATCAAGTTATTCTCTCAAATGCACAGGTTGCTCTGAGCTGCAGAGCCCCTTGAGCAGCATCATTCTCTGCCCCTCCCCAGGGCTGCCACTGCCAGACCCTGCCCACTGTGATGTCTCTCTCCCTCCCTGTGCCCAGGGCTGTCCTGCTGCAGAGAGGAGCCATTGTCCTTTGCTTTGGGTGTCCTGGGCTCTGTCTTCCCCAGGTTTCCCTTTTGCTTTGCCCGCTCTCCTAGGACTGGGGTTGTTCTCACTCCTGTGCCCGGAGGGGTATGTGCAGAGCAGTGAGCTGCCGCCTGCCCCAGCAGCCAAGTGAAACCTTTCTCCCCACAGCATCCCTCACACACACCCCATCTCCAAGTCCTCCCTCCCCTCACCCAAAGGGTTAGTCTTTAATGCACAATCTTTGGTCTCTGTGGTTCTCTCTCTCTGCTTCTGGGACTGACACGGAAACCGCCGCAGCTCCTCCTCCAGGCTGCTGCTTCACACGCCCTAGCCACCCCCGCCCTCTCTTGCTACCAAAGCAGAAGGTTGAAGCTTGCCATGCTAGAAACCTGTCCTCTCTGGAGGGAAGTCTGCTGAGGAAGTCTGGACAGCGTGGCCCCCTGCTCAGCTCCTTCCTCTCCTTAGGGCTGTGTGTGATTCAGCCCCCCACAGCCTGTAGAGGAGCAGGGACCTGTGATCCAAGAAGGGGCTGTCCCGGCCATGCTGCCATGGGCAGGGGTGCTGGGCTTCCTCCTGCTGCTCATCCTCCTGCGTGTCCGGGTTTGGGTTCAGAAAGCAAAAGTTCCCAGCAGCTCTGGGGCCCAGCTGGTCTGCAAGCCCTCTGCGCTGGCTGCCTACCTGGAGAGCCAGTGCCAGGCCTTGAAAGGCCGATGCGAAGCCAGCTGGCCATGGAGGGCTCTCCCCTCCCTGCAGACGCTGGCCAGCCTGATGGGGCCCCCGGAGAGCAGGGTGCATTTTGTAAGGACCTATCTGCAGCTGAGTGACGAGGGGCTGGTGGCTCTGGACTGGGCAGTGGGGCCAGCACAGCAGGAGAGGAGGCAGACATCCAGCCCCTGCAGCGCACCTGTCCTGCTGCTTGTCCCCAACTCCTTCGGGAAGGTGACCCGCAACATCAGCAAGGTAATGAGGGGGAGGGACTGGCAGTGACAGGCAACAGGGCTGGGCACTAGGAACTGCCCCCGAGCTCCAATCCTGGTTCTGCCACTGACTTGCTGGGTAACCTTGGGCCAGTCACTTCCCCTCCCTGCACCTCAGTTTTCCCCTTTGTAGAAACAGGGACCATGACCCCGACCCCTTCAGCTACAGCTCAGAGAATTTCCTTAGACAGACAGCAACAGGACGCAGAGATGGAGCCAGTCCCTGCCCCCGAGGGGCAGAGCAATGTGGGGGGGATGACTCAGGGCAGAAGTGGGCTGTTTGGAGGGTTTGGAAACATTGTGGCCTGTTTGAGGTGGGGCTGCATGGGGGTGAGTGCTGTGCCTGGCTGGAGAACATGGGGGTCACACAGGATTTGGAAGGGTGTACGGTATCTAGGGAATTGCTGCACAACCCTCCCCCCCTCCCCCACACACACACCAGGGAGGACAGGCTGTTCCCATCAGGCAGCTGCATGGAGCTCCAGTCTGTCTCCCAGCTGCCCGATGCCTGGGGCAGAGGCTCTAACGGAGGCTGTGTATAAACCCCAGCAGTGTGTTCTTTGCCCAGTACCAAAGGGGTCCCCTAGCGATCGCTACTAACAGCTGATTTAGTGCCGAGATTTATCCCCCATCCTCCCACAAGCCCACTGACCCCATTTGCCCTTTGGCTTTGCTGCTGCAGCTGACAAGCTGAATCTACAGAGAAGACAGTGGATTCTCTTGGGCTCTGGGCTGGGAGACATGGGTCTTTCTGGGCTTCCTTAAACCTCTCTTCACTTTACCAGAAATTAGCCTTAGCACCACCTCGCTAGGGCCAGCAACAGCCTGTGAGTGCAGTTAGAACAACACGGTCAATACCAGCCAGAGAGCTCCCCAGCTAACTCCAGTCTCAGGGTCAGACAATGGGGAGCCTTGTACTCCCTTTGCTGTTCGATGCAACTGAGTCCAGGTTGCCCCCGTCAGTGGCACCCCCGCCTAGTGCCGCACGGCCCGACTGCAGCACGGGACATGTGCTGGGTCCATATGCCACTTCTGGATGCCCTTGCCCACTCCACACCACCTAGTGCTGATATTCTTTAACCACTTCATTCATGATTCCTGTCATCTGAACCCTGCCCCTGGGCGGTGCCCATCTGAAAAGGGGTAAAGAAGATGTCAGTGAAATTTTCCAATGATGCTGAATTGGGAGGAGTTGCAAACAAAGGGAGCTAGGGAGATGGGAAGCATGGGCAGAAAATAACAACATGCCATTGCGCGTGGGAAATGCAGCCAACCCACCTGACCATCTGGGGCAGAAACCTCCCTCTTGCAGGGAGGGGCAGGGCTCATGGACTTGGAGGTGAGAGGACAGTGTGATTGAAAGCTGAATGGTCAGTGCTGTTTGGGGCTGTGCTGCAGCAGGGAGGGGGCTGTGGACGACTCCCCCGGGACTGTTAGCTTCACCCCATTAACCGATGGATTTATCCCAGTGGGAGGGGGCCAGAGATGGATGAGTTGGGGATGGAGGGGCTGACGCAGAGATGAAAGGCACTAACTGCTCAACGTGCTCCCTCATTTGGATGCCTCAGCTTCTGACCAGCCCCCACGAGAACCTGTGGCTCCCACTGACTTCAGCGGGTCCTCAGCACACTGGGAGTCAGCCCAGGGGTCTCTGGTTGGGTGCCCACATTAGTGAGCACATCTGCAAAGCTCGGCCTGAATGTGGCGCCCGAGGCGGTGACGGGGACCAAGGCAGCTTGGCCAGGGATCAGGACACTGAGGAAAGGAAGAATGAGGCAAACGTTCCAGGCAGTGATACCACGGCACTGAGCAGCGGAACAGGCTTCTAAGACCCATTGCCTGGGTCCTTTCAAAGGACCATTTATAAAGCCATAGGTACTGGCCACAGGGCAGAATCCTGACCTGGATTCCAGGTGTGATCGCAGGTTTCTCCTGTGTCTGAGTCCCTAACCCAGGGCTGTCCCGAGGGGGGTGTGGGGCCTGGGGTGGAAATGACGGATTTGTCTCTTCCGGGACTGACCGCACCAGCCAATCACACTGGCCCATGGGGCCCCCCAAAGCATGGGGCCCGGAGCGGTCACCCCAATTTGCACTACCCAAGGGATGGCTCTGCCCTAACCCACCAGCTGGTAGAGCAGCCTGGGGGTGGGGCCCTCGAGGCAGATAGGCTGCCCTTCCCTGTTGTTCCCAGGGTGCTCACAGTGACTCCTGTTGTCTGGTTCTAGCTATGTCACGTGGCACTCCTTCATGGCTACCGTCCTGTTGTCTTTAACCGCCGTGGTCAGAATGGCTGCCCCCTAAGCACCACCACACTGCAGCCATATGGGGATCCTGCTGACCTGCGAGAAGCCATCCAGTACATCCACTCCCGGTGCCCAGGGGCCCTGCTCTTTGCAGTGGGGGAGAGCACTGGGGCAGGGCTCCTGTTCTCCTACCTGGGAGAATGCGGTTCCTCTAGCCTCCTGACAGCTGCTGGCTGCATCTCCCCCATCTTTGACCCTCGGGGATGGTTTGAAGCTGGGTGCCCCTGGCTATGGCAGCAACTCTTGCTCATGTCCCAGAAGGTGTGGCTCAGCCGGTGAGTGACTTGTCTGTGGGTCTGTCTGGGGTGGAGATGGACAGCATGTAGTGATGGCCTGGCCCTGCAGTGTCTGAAGCAATGAGCCACAGCCTCCCAGCTCCACCATGCCTTGAGTGCAGCTTTGCAGTGCACTGAGGGATCCCAGTGGCTTTGCCCATGTCTCCTGGACCCACGTGAGATCCTGTGGGATCAGCAGGTAGGGGACAGAGCTGGTGACCCTAGGCTGTAGCTGGAGCAGTCCTGGTTAGTGAGAGTGCTTCTCAGCACAACGTGGGGAGCTGCAGAGCCCTGGGGGAGGTGGATGAAGGGAGACGGCCTTTTCTGTCCCAGATAGAGCCATGGTGAGATGGTCCATTCAGCCCTGAGCTGCCCCGTGCTCCATCAATGAACCTCCCCAGTACAGGGAGCTGTCCCCCCTCCTCGTTCTCCTGCTTGGGCTCTTACCAGTGTCTGTCTCCCCCAGGTTTGCCACGGTGCTAGGGGAGGTTTTGCCCCTGGATCGTTTCTTTGGGGGCCAGTCACTGAGGGAGCTGGAGGAGGTTTTGTTCTGCCAGGCCCAGACCTGGGACTTGTACTGGGAGAGGAACGACCCCCTACGGGATGTGGACGAGATGGCAGTACCAGTGCTGTGCATCTGCAGCCAGGACGACCCCATGTGTGGGGCCCCCAGGGACACTCTGCCCTTCGAGCTGTTTGAGACAAACCCCTACTTCTTCTTAGTGCTCACCCAGGGAGGTGGACACTGTGGCTTCTTCAAGGATAGCCTGTGTGGTGCCTTCTGGAGCCATGAGGTGGTGCTGGAATTCTTCCACACCACTGTGGATTTCCTCCTCACAGAGGACAAACTGAAGGGCCAGGCCAAGAAGAGAGGGGCCAGGCCGGTGCCGAAGGTCACCCAGGGCAGAAGTGGCTGCAGGCAGGAGTCCTGCTGCCCTCACAATAGCCCTGACACTTACCGCTGGCAGCGCTCCTACACCCGCTGACAGCTGGTCTTCACTCAGCATCTGGAGGATGATCTGCTGACCTTTGCCGAGAGCCCCCGTGCACGCTTGGGACTGTGACTCTTTGTAACAAGAACGGGGCCGTACCTAGGGTGGTGCAGGACCCGGGCTGGAAGTGACAGGGTTCGTCTCTTCCAGGACCAACCACGCCGGCCAATCACACTGGCCTGCGGGGCCTCCCCAAGCACAGGACCCGGAGCGGTCACCCCAATTCGCCCTACCCAAGGGACGGTTCAGAACAAGAACATAGTATTTCCGTGAACGAACGGATCGTGTTAGATGATAACTGCAGCGTGACAGAGATGCTGCGTCCTGGCTGGGTGTCGGCATCTCAGGTGCTGCCCTGTCAGAAGTGGTGTTTGTGTCCCAGTGCCACTGGCTCCTGGTTGTGGTAATATGATGTGGTTTTGTGCCTTTGCTGACGGTTGCCAGGTACTGTGATGTCCCAGTGCTAGAAGATTGGGGCCCAGCCAGGTGCTGTGCTGCAATGGAGCAGAAGGGGATGAATGATTCTTATTTATTTTGTAGCACCCAAATTTGTGCTGGGTGCTTCATGGAAGACGTACAAAGACACAGGCCCTGCTGCAGTGAGCTTATCTCTAGGTTTTACATGTGTCCAAGCAAATGGGGATAGCTGAGAGTCGGGAGGGAGGCCAGGGGCTGCAGCAGAATGATCAGGGGTGACTCAGGGTCACTGCCTGGGCAGCATTTTGGGCCTGTTACTTTTCTCCATATAGCTATAAAAATAAGGATGATAAAGCTCTAAAACAGTAACTGGAGTCGATTCCCTTCCTGAGGCTGGGACTGCTGTACGTAGCTTGGTGATGCAGTACTAGACACTCCTGGGTCCTCATCTGTAATGCACCCCTGGGGTGTAGTTGTGCCTCCTTGCCCGTGTGTGCAGGCTAACTGGCATTCTTCATTAATGTTACATGACAAGACTAAAGGATGCTTGAAATGTTATTTTAAGCTCAAAGACTGGTGTCTTCCTTCCTGTTCTGCATCTCGCTGGGATCAGTAGACACTCATTCACAGACACAGGTGTGCGCACACTCACAGACACATGCACCCACAGGTGCGCGCAACCCCCCCCCCCCCCGCTGCACACTAATGCTCAGCTTAGGTGACGCTTACCACACACCGCAGCCAGACAGCTTAGCTCTGTCCCCATAGGGAAGCCACAAGGGTACTTTATTCCTCCATAACAAACACCAGCGCATTAAAAGTCCACCACAACCACTGGCTGATGCCCTGTTCCCCAAGTATCATTGCACTCAGAGCTGCCATGTTCCCATGTACCGTTGCAAAGGGGGCAGAGGTAAGGTTGTCTGGGTGTGTCGTGTGGAGAGCGAGAGTAGCAAGGGATGTCAGGGGAAGACAAGGGACTTGTGTTCCAGTACAGGAAGGCCAGAGCCAGTAACACAGATCCAGTGGCAGGAGGAAAACGTGTCCATTCTTTGATGGGCTGGAGTGCCTGACTCCTCTGTATGCAGCCTGGTGATGAGAACAGCAGCATCATGAAATGGGTGGATTAGGAGCCTGGGAGATGCCGCTGAGAGCAGGGTCTCTTAGGGGGCCCCCTAGCACCTAGGCATGGCATGAGCAATGCCCTGGAGCAGGCGCTGAGGAGGGATGATCATGCCCACTGGGAGCTTGGCAAGACTGAGCTGCCTGTGAGCTTGGCTATACTTGCCCCTTTCCTGAGGGAATGCAGCTCCCCCAGTGCTGCCGTAGACCAGGTCCAGGGACGGCTGTGCCAAAGAGCCCTGCTCTCAATAGGCTTAGTCAACGCTGCAGTTAAGTTGTCAGGAGCCCTGCCTCTGCCGGGGAGGTGCCCCCATCACCATGGCATCTCCCAGTCACTAGTGCATTTATCTTCACCAGATCCCGTGGGGCAGGGCAGGGTGAGGCACCCAGCAGCTCAGTGACTTGCCCAAGGTCGGCCAGGAATCGAACCTGGGTCTCCCAACTCCGAGGCAAGCCCCTAGCCCCAGGGCCACCCTTCCTCTCTCAAGGGTGGGGCTTTTTCCAAAACAGAGGCTGGTGTGCCAGACACTGGCTGGGAGGTGAGGGAAGGGAGTGGGGGCTTGGCAAGCCAGACGCAGCAGCCTCAAGTCTCTGAGGCACCAAGCTCTTTATTGGACTATTAGTGAACTTGTGTTATTGTTGGTGCTGTAGGGGAGCTGGGGTGACCCATGGCTGCTCCCCTGAGAATGTTCCCTGTGCTGGGTCATGTGGATGCTGAGGGTCTGGACCTGGGGCCGAGGCAGGGCTGGGAGGTTGCCCTGGATACAGGACTACATGCAGGTCGGGTTGCGGAACTGACCTGATTAGGAACAGTGGACAGTTTCTAGTTCTAAGGAGTTTCCTTCTGCGTCTGTCCATCTATCTTAGGCATGTCTGACACACCGCCACCATTGTAGTGCTGGGGGCAGGAAATTTGACAGCTGTGTCCCCAGTTCTGCTTCCACCGCATAAAAAGTGCCCAAGGGAAAGAACAAAGCTGACGAGATCCCTTTTCCCCACTCCTGCCATTCCCCTAAACCTTCTCCCAGGCCCGCCGCCTGGCCAGGACTCTGGAAGGGCAGGGCTGGCGTTAACAGCTGTGCAGTCTCAGGGCAGCAGGTTGGTGACCGGGAGGTGACTGCCCAAACCCCACCACCTCCCAAGAATCTTACTGCTGGCTCTCAAGCAACCTGTAACTGATCCCTACTCCCATGCAGACGGCGCTCCACCCCTCTGCTAGAGCCTGTCAGTACTGCAGCGAGGGGCCCAGGGGCATGAACTGCCCTGCCTTTTGCCCCACTCGATGGCCTTGTTTTTCATCTTCACTTAGATTCCTGCTTTGCTGAATCCCCGCTGTGGCATTACACTCCATATTATTTATGAAAATATGCTTATGATACGGATATGACATGGACTATGTAACAATTCCAGCTCCCCACTGTTCCCAGTAACCTCCCTGGCTCCTTACTGCCCCCCCACCCCACCCCAGCAACTCTTCCCCCTCAGACAGTGAGGATCAGCACGAGCGGGATCAGGGCCGGGTGAGAGGGATGGGCGGTTACTGCAGGAGCGTCTGGAAGAGGGATTGTTATGGGTGGAGGAGGCAGCTGTGGAGAGGGCTGCTGCAGGGCCATAGGGAGCCACGGAGGTCACTGGGAACAGTGGGGAGCTGGGGGGAGGGTTGCTGGGGTTTGCAGGGGGGCCATAGCCAGGGAGGTTACTGGGACCAGCGGAGAGTCGGGGGGAGGGTTGCTGGGGGGGGCATAGGGAGCCAGGGAGGTCACTGGGAACAGTGGGGAGCTGGGGGGAGG